TTGAATGTTTATCATTACCCAAAGGTCTTTCTTTCCTTTTATTTCACAAGGATTTCATGCGCTCTCCTCTGACAGATACTAAATCTTTAATCGTCTTTTCTGTGCAGATTTTTTCCTTAAAGCCTGATGGTAAATGGACCAATTAGAGCTAACAGACATCTTCACTCAGCTAATGTTAGCTGGCCTGCCCACTCATTCACTCCCTCACTCGGCCTTTCCAACTGTTGTCTAATTGTATTCTGAACGGATGTGACGGCGAGGGCCAGACGCCTCCAGAGCAACTGGCTGCTCTATTCATAGTCCTTAATAAACATCGCTGTCATCATGCTGGAGTTAATTTAGGTTACGATAGAAATCATGTATTTTGGTTCGGCTGGTTTGCGGATTGTGGTTTTATATAATTCCTTTAGGATCTGTGTTGATTTTAGATTGTATATTTTGTATTTTCTTAGAATAACCACCTCTTCTCTCTATTGCAGTTGATCTAACAAGGCGTGTGGAGGAAACTGGGAGCAGCCGAACTTTAAAATGCCTGTGGCAACATCCAGCTCGGACTCAGGTAACTGTCTCAGTCTTTCTGTAATAGCCAAGTTTCTGGGTTTTTCCCTTTTTTTCATGGGCAAGATACTGAATGGATTGTGGTAAATCCCTCCTTCCAAGATATGTATCTAATCTTCTGACTTCTAATATGAAGTAATGAGCTTTCTACTGCAGAGCTCAAACCTCTGCTCCAATCAGTCAACACTTGAGGGATTTATTTCTTAGCTTGAAGCTCAAATACAGGTCAAACAAGGGAGTGACAGGATATGTGAGCATGCAGAAACAAAGATAGGTTTTAATCGATGTATTTTAGTTGGCATCTGGGAAGTAGTCGTGTGGGGGAATATTTCTTTAAATCTGCTGCAGAAAGCCTATGGGCTTTTACTTGGAGATGATAAATTCAGAAAGTCAGACACTAGAGAGAGTGGCTGGGAAGGAGTGTAACTGCAAGTACATTTGTGTGGAGTGGACTGTCAGTCTTGATTTGTGCGCTAAATACAGTGCTCAGACTGCATGACTGGCATTTTTAGACACACTGTAAAACATTTCTCCATTTCAATTTGTTTCAGGCTTCAGTTCAGGTTTGTAGAACGACTACAGCAGGGTCCAGTTAGATGAATTACAAAAACGTGTTCAGTTAAGCAGCTCAAATTATCTGTCCGATGAAAAAGAAACTGCCTTCTTTGTTCAATAGGTTTTACATATGATATATTCTTATAACTGTGTGAAATAGCTGCTTTTATGATCCCGTTTTTTGATTTGAATGGATTGGCAATGGGTTGGTTTGAGCTTCTCACACTATAAAAACCTTTCAGTTCAATATAGATTATGTATTTAGTGCTAATTCACAGCACATGTAATTTTAAGGCATTTTATAGAGACACTTAAACCAGATCATACAGTCAGGTTGGTTAAACATTTTCTATCTAAGGAAAACCAGCTGATTGCATCCTGTCATTGATTTTGTTGGATCCCTCCTCCTTGATGAGCATGTTAGGACACTAGACAATTACTTGGATCGTGTCACTGACTCAGTCTACAGCAATCCCTCACATCGAGCATGCATGAAGCGACAGTGGAGAGGAAAAACTCCCTTTAAGTAAGATGAAACCTCCAGCAGAACCAGTCTCTGGAGATTCCAGGAGACAGAGGCAGATAAGGAACATTGAAGCACTAATCCGTAAATACTTTCCATGTTTGAAAAGGCACCATTAAACCATCACCTTAGGTGGCTTTGTCTAGAAAAGAAACAGTTAAACAGATGAGCTATGTTGTTTTCCATGAGCACAAGCATTTAGTCTCAATAAAGGCTTAAAGAAAAAATCAATGAATCATTATCTATGCCTAAAACTAATATGTTTGCAGTGATTTAATGAAGTTAGCATTAATCAGTAAAAAAATAAAAACAATAATTTTCATCTTGATCACTTAGTGCGGGAGCGGCCATTTTTGCCCAACTATAGTAACCCCTCCCTCCTGCCATCTTCCGGCAGTGACGTCA